AGAGGTGTAACACTACATACAGCATTTGCTTTGCCAGTATCACAATTTGGAGGGCAAATGCCTGAATTGGCTAGTGACACTGCCAACACCATAAGAGAAAAACTAAGCAACCTGAAATGTCTAATAATTGATGAAATTTCCATGGTAGGTAGTACTCTCCTCAGCCGGGTCGACACCAGGCTGCGGCAAGTAACAGGTAGAAATGAAATGTTTGGCGGGATATCGGTAATAGTTGTGGGTGACCTCAACCAACTTCCACCTGTGATGGATTCTTTGGTTTTTCTGCCTCCCAAAAATAATGATTTAAATTTACTCTGTGGTATTAACCCTATTTGGGAGGAATTTAAATTTTATGAACTTACTGAAATTATGAGACAAAAAAATGAAAGAGCATTCATTATCGCCCTTAACAACCTAGTACTTGGAAGTATGACAAATGATGACCTAAATTTATTCAAAAGTCGAGAGGTAAAGGAGATTGACGTCCCAAAAGACGTAATCAGACTTTATTATGAAAACTCAAGCGTAGAAGATTATAACAATCTAAAAATTATTACATCAGTCGGTAAAGAACTCAAGTCAGAAGCTACTGATATGGTAATAGGTAAAGTTAGCGAAAAATTAAAAGCAAAAGCCCTGGACTGTATTAAAAAGAAAAAAATTACTGAAACTGGTGGCTTGCCAACATCATTACGTTTAAAAACAGGCATAAAATATATGATAACCACTAACATAGATGTCGAAGATGGTCTTGTTAATGGTACTTGTGGAATTTTGAAGAAAATAACATTCAAAAATAAATGTCTTATTGACAAATTATGGTTTTCTTTCATGCCAGACACAACTGTGGGCTGCAACGCACGAACTCCATTTTTAAATTACATGGAAACTGAAAACATTGATCCTAGTCTTGTCCCAATAACAAAAAGAAGTTTTACATTAAATATTGCAACCCAAAATCATTATCAAATAATTCGGCAACAGTTTCCATTAACCCCGGCTGAGGCACTAACAATACATAAAAGTCAAGGACAGACTTTCGATAGTGTCTGCATAGATTTTAATAAAAAAAATAAATTAAATAGACACCTATTGTATGTTGCTCTTAGTAGAGTCACAAAAATATCTGGTTTATATATACTTGGCACATTCAAGGCTCCAATGCCTCCTCCACCAAATGATCCTACAATGGTTGAGTTGGATAATTTAAGGAGAAACAAACAGCTTGCCATTCTTACTGATGAGGAGGGTGATTGTAATGAAAAAGTTTACGTCTTTGTATAGACTTCTTAATAAGAAATTAAACAGAATTTGAAATGAAAGAAAATGCTTCTACCTATTGATTCACAAATTAACAACATACAGAAGAAGAAATAACAGAAATATGGAAAAAAGCTATAAATATTAAATCACATTATAATGAAATTAACATAAGAGACAACTAATTTAACACTGCACTGATAATCAACAACTGTGAAATATTTTTTTTATAAAAGAAATCATCTAAGCTACAGCAAGTAAGTTTAATGTCTAGTATTCTTGCATTCTATTATTTTACATTCTGTTTTTTGTTATAGGTATATTTTATAACATGAGTTTAGTTTCTAAAATTACTATAATGTTATTCTCATTGATTATTATGACGATACATGGAGCCGATGGAGTTGTCTTAACCCAAATTATGTTTTACTATAAGACGTATACAAAATAAAGTACTGTAGTTATATGCTTATATTTCTCAGCCAGTTAGACAAATATTTCATCATATAAAATGTGCCTACTCTGTGTTATGTGTATGAATATTGATTTTCTAATTTTTTTTTTATAGTTTTTTATTGTAGACTATTAAACTTACAAAATGTTTTTCTTAGATATTCTGTTTGCAGAATACTTATCCTGATTGAAACAAAACCAAGACTTTAAAGAAAACCTTGATCTTGGAGGTATCAAACAAATCCTTCTACCAGTCTTATACCTTACTCTTCCTGCCTAATTTTCCTACATTTCCTGCCATATCCACAGGTAATTATTGATAGCTTTCGTCCATCATGTATAATATTAATTGAACTGTCCAATAATGTCAAAATATTTTATTCAAATATTTAACTCTTTGTCTATATACGTGATTCAATATTTTTGATATCATGGACGATAAATACTGAAATTACAAAATTACATGCCTAAAAAGCAATCTTATATTCAGTTTCTACAATTTTTAATATTTTGTATGTACATTATAAACACTTGTACTTACATAAAATGTTTTCTTATATACTCTGATTGCAGAATACCTATCCCGATTCAAACAAAAAGAAGACTTTTAAGAAGACTTTGATTTTTTTAGATATCAAACAATTCCTTCTACAAGTCCTGTACCTTGATCTCCCTGCCTGATTTTCATATCTAAAGCTATTTAATTTTTTTCATCCACCATATAATATTAATTGGACTGCCCAATAATATATTACCTGATTTACATATTCAACTGTAAATAAAATATGTTTGCATCGTTATTATTATGTTTATATTTTTATTGCTTTCATTCGCTTTTAAAATATATTTACCTTTGGTGAGTCCTTGGAGCCTAGATATTTTAACTCATAATACTATTAAAAAAACTACAAAGCAGATCTCAAATCGCACAGTATACTTGATATTTACATCATAATTACTTTGGTGTTTGAAAACTACTTATGGATGATACCGTAATTAACTCTTAATCAGCTGTTTGAAATTATCCAAGATAGCCGCTAGCTTCCAAGGACACTTAAAATTTTATGCATAGTGATGATTGAGTGTTTTAACAAAGTTTATGACTTAAACATATACTACATTTGATTTTCCAGGTTGTACTGGCTGTCGTCTGTTTTTCAATTCTTATTTTATGTTACACGCTCCAGTTACCCAGAATAAAGTGTTCAAATTTAATGCCAAAATACAGGGTGCGGCAAAACAAATTCCGCAGTTTTGAGGATTAATAAATAAAAAACGTGGATACTTAGAAACATAATATTTTAATCTTATAAATACGTAGAACATACCATTTTGAATTTACTTAGTTTTGAAGATGATGTCGTTAAGATGGCGGCCATTGGCTTCAATACACATTTGTAGTCGTTCTCTGAAGTTCCGTGCAGCTCTTGAGCACATTTCACGGGGTACGGCATTCACTTCTTCGATGATCCGCTGTTTCAGCTCTTGCAGTGTATGAGGCCGTCTTTTAAACACCTTTTCCTTTAAGTAGCCCCAAAGAAAATAGTCACATATACTCAAATCAGGTGACCGCGCAGGCCAGCCAACATCACCCCTCAAAGAGACCAGACGTTCAGGAAACATTTCCCTCAACACATCCATGGATAATCGAGATGTGTGAGCTGTAGCTCCATCCTGTTGGAACCACAAGTCCCCTAATCCATGTTCTTCAACAATGTCATTGATTCTTGGTTCCAAGAAGTTTCGCAGCATTGACACGTAACGTTCAGAATTAACGGTCACTGACACACCTTCTTCCTCAAAAAAGTAAGGGCCTATAACACCAAACTGAGACACTGCACACCACACTGTGACCTTGGGAGAATGTTGCGGTTTCTCGTGCAAAATGTGAGGGTTGTTTTCAGCCCAGTAGCGAAAATTCTGCTTATTGACATGACCACTGAGGTGAAAATGTGCCTCGTCACTGCTGAAAAAAACTGCATCTTCGGGGATCTGTTGAAGCATTTGCTCACAAAGATTTTGTCGGTTCACATGGTCTACAGGGCGTAGTTCCTGGACGCACATAATTTTAAAAGGATGAAACTTTAAATCGTATCGAAGCATTCTTCTTAAGCTACGGTCTGAAATCCCAAGGGCAACTGCATGCCTTCGAGCAGAACGTGTCGGCGAATCCTCAACTGCTGCTCTCACTCGTTGGACATTTTCCGGTGTTCTAACGGACCTACGTCGACCATGATGGCGTGTTCTTAATGTGCTTCCAGTTTCTTCTAACTGCTGAACCCAAGAACGAATCGTTTTTGCGTCCGGAACATTTTTATTCCGTGGAACATTGAATTGTCGTCTGAAGGCCCGTTGTGTAGCAACCACAGAACGACTGTTTTCGTAAAACGCACGCACAGCAAAACCGCGATGCGCACCAGTCCAAACCATGTTAGCTACTGAAATGGGGTCAGCGACAGAACAAAGGGAGACCACCTGCACCTGCCTACCCCCACCACTGCCCGAGCGGCGGGAGATTGAAACTGCGGAATTTGTTTTGCCGCACCCTGTAGTAGGAGAACGTATGAGTCAGTTTACTTATACTGTTTATTTTTAATGGCGATCTTCCCATAAAAACGCATGAAAGTAATGGAAAATCCAATTATTTTTGGAAAAGTCCCGAACGATTTTGATAGTCATTTGATATGTTTATAGTCCTTTAAACTCTAAACAAAATTGTCTAATTGCTGTAAAAGATGGCGACTTCCCATATAAAAAAAACATTCTCACACTTACCAACGAAACAGGTCATTGACTAGCTAATGGGAGAAAGTATGTGTCAGATTGCTGATACCGTTTATTTCACTTTTTTTTAAATTTTTAATTTTTAATGGTGATTTTCCCATAAAACCCATAAAATAACAGAAAAATCAGATTTTCTCAAAAACAGCCCAAACGATTTTGATAAAACTTTAGTATGTTACAGCCCTTTAGATTCTGAACAAAATGGTTTGTTAACTTTGTCATTTTCCCATTAAAACCCCATAAAAAATTTAAAATAGAATTTTTGAAAAAAGTGCCGGTTTTGATTAAAATTAGTATGTTATGGTCATTATAAGACTAAACCGTATAGTGCAACCCTCAATTGCTGTAAAATTTACGGTTTAAAAGTTATTGCCACTTTTGTGATTGTTCCTATAAAATATCATAGGTAACGCCTACCCATGATAAACGTTTTTGACAAGCTAATGGGAGAAAGTATGTGTCAGATTGCTGAGACCGTTTATTGATGATTTCTTATGTTCCAGCGAGCTGTAGTAGAGCAGTGTGAGCACTTGTCTGACACGGTTGTCCGACTGCAGTCTCTAGCAAACAACTCTAACCCTGCGTACAGTGAGTACAACGGACTGTTGTCTGTAGTCAAGCTGTGCAGCCTCAACACTCTCACTTCACATACGCCTGACACCCACGACTGGGCTTTCAAACTCAGGAAGCGAAAGTTTGTTGTCGAGGTATGTCAGCTTTGAATACAAGCAACTATTTGGAAAATAAGGAACGTTTTGGAACAATAGTTTCTGTAAGAAAAACATTGTAATGTTACTTTTTTTGTGACCAAACAAATTGAGGCACTTCTAGCGGTAGACGAGCTTTTCAGTTACTTGGTGACCGAGTAAATAACATCCCCCTTTTTTAGAGATGGTTCTTAAACTTAACCATTGTCTATTTGGTGAAGTTAACCTCAAAAGTGTTTGTAACTGCTGAAAGTGGCTTGTTTATTTATTTTTGACATTGAATCTTGTTGTAAATTAATGGCCTTGATTAATCCAAGTATATCTTAGGATAATCATTACCTTATTAATTTTATGTAGCTCTGGTTGAACTAAATCAATGATAATCTACTTCATGACCAGTTATACTTAACCATTCAGGCGTGTGTTTACAAGGTCAGTAGAGCAGGCAGGTTATCTGCCTCTAGTGTATTTCAAGTTACCTAAGACAGGTAGCCTGCCCGCTAACTGGCTTTGTGTAAACACTGCTTTTAAGATGGTTTGACAATGCCACAACAGCCAAAAACAAAATTACCTAAAAAGTAAATTTATAGAGAAATCGTGGAAAAATTCCCAAATCAAAGGGTTAAAGGATCTCATGCTTATACATTTTGGACGTGAGATACCTGATCTAAATTAAAAGGTTCTATAGTTTTTTTTTATTTACAACTAGCAGAGTACCCGTCCTTCGTACGGGGTTGGCATATAAGTATCAAATGCTTATAGCAGTTATGAGTGAGGACATGGTTTAAGAAATTTCGGTTCTTTTTGAAGTTCGTTCGCTACGCTCACTCACCTTTAGGTTGGAGCTCGTTCGCTGCGCTCACTTTCCTTCAGGTTAGCTCGTTCGCTACGCTCACTTGCCTTCAGGTTAGCTCGTTCGCTACGCTCACTCGCCTCCAGGTTGAAGTTCGTTCGCTACGCTCACTCACCTTTTGGTTGCAAATTAGCTGTTGTCATAAATGTAAAAGAAATAATGCTAGTGCTGCACCCTGTTGGTAATCCTTGTAACTTTAATGCTATTGAAAATCATAGAACAGAACCAACTTGTTTAATTGAAACAGCTGTTAAGATTCATTAATTCCATTTCTCATAAGGTTAACATGGGAACCTTTGCTCCAGAGCCACTGGGGCGGAGCCCGGAAGGATTTTTGGGATAAAAATATGCCTATATGTTAATCGGGAATATGAGCTATCATCATGCCGAATTTCAGCCCGATCCGACCAGTAGTTTTCGCGTTTACTTTTCCCATACACACAGACACCACCTCTTTTTTTTTATAATAGTATAGATTATCAATCAATTATCAATCACACAAACTTTACACTTCATTAACTCACATTGTGCAGTTTAAAATAAGTAATGAATAATAAGGGTTTTCCACTTTTTTGATAGAAACTCCATCTGCCCCCGGAACTGCTAGAGTCTGCACAACGAGAGCAAGACGAAATCATCTCCACTCCAACGATGAGCTGTGCGACAAGTGGAGGAAGAGGCAAAGCTCTGGACTTCTAGAAATAGTTTGAATGTGTCACGTTTGTCTCCCAGTAAAGTTTATAAAGCTGGATTTTCATAGGGGCGGAACGCAGAGAAGCGATTTTAATGGCGGTCTGCTCTGCTGTTAGGTAATCAGTACCGTTAAATTTCCTCAGAAAAGAGGAGAACGGACTCCACACTTCGCATTCCGCACCTAGGAAAATCCAGCTGTAGGGAGAGCCAATGTACTACCATTGACTATTGTTGAACCAGACATTCCATCCCCATGTTAAAGTTATCACCATAATTAGAATTAAAATGGACATAGTTGAATTGAACCAACGAAAGAGTGTTGTGTTGTTATAAATTATTTTTTTATACCAATTTTACAATCAATTATTCAATTTTTACTGATAGGATGACATTTTGTAAGCTATAGCTCCTCATTTGTTGCATGAACTTCCTCAGTAACAAAAACTAACGGATAAAACAAAATTTTAAACTGTAGCACAGTCTATGGCTTATTCAACTGTTTTGTTTTTGTTTAAACAACTTTTGTCTAGATGGGATGTTTACTTGTGTAACCAAAAGTCAATGCTGGAACTTCAACATGGAACTGGGATGTCTATTATTCTCCATAGTTATTTTATTTATGCAACTGTACAAATTTTTTTTAATACCCTGGTACAAAATAATAAAATTATTTTTATTTTTTACGAGTTTGTTCTTCTATAATTTGAAACCTAGAAGTAAAATTTCTTAGAAAAAAAGTTAATATTTTTTTCATAATTCCAAGGAAATTGTGGTCCGACCTGATGGAAGTGGGTCAAAATTATAGGAGGGTAAAGATTGGATGTAAATCCCTATTAAATATTTGTCAGTAAGCCTAGTCCTTAAATGGTCCTTAAATGGTCGGGTAATTGCGTAGTTGTGTACGAACCAGGTGACACACTGGTTTAATGTCCCCACACCTAGTTTAAAAAAAACCTTGGAGGCCAAAGGTGTTAAGCGGGCTAGAGTCATGAATCGTGATAACGAACATAATATCAAGTACAAGTTTAATGATTTTACTGACTTGAGAGAGTGATTTTGCTGAATGTAAAGAATGAGTTATGAAAGTTCCTGTAGATAACAGGCAATTTACGATTTTAATTTTTAATAGTGCTTACTATTTAGAGTTTTCTTAGCGATCAACTTTAACTGTATCATTTTATTGATCAAAATCACGGTAGGGCCTTTACCAGAATCGTTTTAAATTTTATCTTTTGTAGGGCTTTTCCCAGGTGTGAGCAATGATGATGGTACAGTAGCACTGTTGGTTATTGGTACTGAGTTCACACCTGTACACTACATTTTTTTACTTACAAACCTGTACCTGTGGTAGGCTAAGATATATAAATATTTTCAAACCCTGGAAACTTCAGCACCCCGACTTGGGGGGACGTTGGTGACGAATTATAGACAATAGACAATAGACAATTTTCTTTATTTGTGATTTCTTTAAGAAATACAATGGCGTCAGAAAGATTCAGAATGTTTAACATTTAGATTGTTTTAACAGTTTACATTTTCTTTTGTGTTGAAAGTTCATAATTGGTCAAAAAATTCCTTAAGGGAGTACACCGGTCGGTCCACAAGCCAGTCCCAGAGTTGCTGTTTGAATTGGTTTCCTGTTGCGTTCTTGAGGTTGTTTGGAAGAGAGTTGATGATTTTTCGGCCAATATAAGAGGGTTTTCTGCTGTATTGTGTAGTGTGGTGGATCGGAAGGTTGTAGTCGGCTGCTTTTCTGGTGTGGTAGGAGTGAAAATTCTCATTTCTGGGAAGGTTAAGTTTTTTTGTGTACAGGACAACTCCATGGATGTAGAGTGCTGTCACTTTTAGGAGCTTAAGGGATTTAAATGCTTCCCTGCAGCTGTCTAAGCGCTCAAGGCCGGAGAGTGCCCTGACAGCTTTTTTCTGGAGTACCAACACTTTGTTGAGGTTTGCTTCTGATGTTCCTCCCCAAGATATTAAGCAATACCTTATATGCGATTCTATTACAGCATAGTATGCTGTCTTAGCTGTTTCCAGACCTCCTATCCATTTCATCCTCTTTATTACATGGACACCAGATGCAAGTTTTTTGGTCAGGTTGTGTATGTGGTCGTTCCAGGAGAGGTCTTCATCAATTGTCAGGCCCAGCAGTTTTGAGTTTTTTTCAACGGTTATTTCAGGAATTTCTTGGATTTGTTCATGTTTTTGGCTGAAGTTTAACTGGGTTGTTTTTGATGGATTAATGGCCAGGTCATTTTGAAGGCAGTACTGCAGTGCTTTGTCTGTTGAGGATAAGATGTTGGAGTGTAATTCTTGTGGTAAGTCATGCATAAATAGAAGAGTTGTGTCATCAGCGTACATTATTGTTTCACAATTGTCATTCCTAATAAAATCTGGAAAATCATTGGTGAAAAGGATGAACAAAAATGGGCCCATGACTGAGCCCAGGGGCACTCCCCTGTTAATCGAAAGTTGTGTGGACCTATGTACAGATTTTCTCCCATTTGTGTTTTGCTGGATTTCGACAATTTGTGTACGTCTTTTCAAATAGCTTGCCACCCAGTCTTTGGCCATTCCCTCTATTCCTAGGGCTGTGAGTTTGCTTAGGATGAGATTATGGCCCAGGCAGTCAAAAGCTTTGCTGTAGTCAAGTAAGACAGTTGATACATATCTGCGTGCTTCTAGATGGTCAATGATTTGTTCGATTAAACTAGTTAGAGCTGTGGTGGTGGACCTCCCTTTGAGAAAACCATGTTGGTTTTTAGTGATTAGATCATTGCTTTCCAAGTGACTCAGCATTCTTGACAGAGCGACCTTTTCTATTACTATTGAAAAGGTTGATATTAATGAGATAGGGCGGTAGTTTTCTTGTTTAGTGCGTGAGCCTTTTTTGTGCTTTGGGTATATTTTTGCTATTTTTAGGGCGGAGGGAAATTGTCCAAGGCTAAAAGATTTGTTTATTATGCTGACAAGTGGGGCTGCCAGTTGTTCGGCACAGTGTTTTACAACTTTTGATGGCACTTCATCTACTCCACATGACAGCTTTGATTTTAGTGAGGCTATTGTTGCTAAGACTTCTTTAATGGTTGTAGGAGTTAAAATTAGTGGCTGGACATTGTTTTGTGGTAGAAATAGTGGATGTGTAATTTTTTTGTTTTTGAATTGGCTTCTGTTTTTCTCTAAAGTGGAGTCTGCTATTTCTGCAAAATATTGGTTTAGGTGTTCAGCAATGTCAGTAGGGTTATCTAATATTTTTCCCTCTATTTCCAGCTGCAGATTTGGTTCTTCCTTCTGTTTACATTGTTTTTCTTTGTTGATGATCTCCCAGACAGCTTTGGATTTATTATCAGCACTTGTGATGTATTCTGCAGTGGCTTGTCGCTTGAGGGACCTGAGCTTTAAATCATATGTTTTCTTTTTTTCCGACATTGTTGTTTTATCATTTACATTTCCGGTAAGCTCGTATCGGTGTAAGGCATCTAGAAAATCTTCTTTTAGTATTTTGACTTCTTCATCATACTGAACCTTAATTTTCTGTCCTTTCTGCTTAGCTCTTATTTTTTTGATAGGGCAGGCATGGTCCAGTATGAGCCTTACAGTCCTTTGGAATGCAGAGTATGCCTCTTCAGCATCAGGGGTATTGTGCACCTTTATCCAGTTTTCTTTGGAAAGTTCGTCTTTCATGCTATCCAGGTTTTTTCTTGAAAAAATTCTTTTTTGTGACATATCCGTTTTAGCAGTAACTTCACTCTGTATTTTGAGGGTACATGTTTGGCCTGTGTGATCTGCTATTCCAGCGTTAATTATAGCGAAATCTATAGCATTATCATGTGTGTTCGTACAGATACAGTCTATAGAGGTTCTTGAATGGTTAGTGATTCTTGTCGCTGGGAGTGGTAGTCTTCTAACTCCAAAAGTTGACAGTTCCTCTTCAAGATAGTTACTACTGGCATTTTCAGTTAGCCTGTCTATATTGATATCGCCCATTAATACAACGGTCTTGGTGTCAGCTTGAAGTGACTCCAGAACTTCTGATAGGATGTCAATGGCTAACCTAGCTTGTCCCCCTGGTGGTCTATACATACCAAGTAAGTAGCAGTTTTTGTTCTTTATCCTTATTTTCACTAATGCTGCTTCAAAAACTAAGTCTAAACTTTGGTTGGAGATTTCTATTTCTTCTGCCTTGATAGCAGCAGTTTCCTGGATATAGATTGCAACTCCTCCCATTCTATGCTCTTCCCTGCAGGAATATGTGACTAGGTTGTACCCACTAATCTTAGTGAGTAATAACATATCTGAGCTGAGTCCATGTTCAGTAATCACCAAGATAGTGGGTTTGAGTTCACTCATTAGATGATTTATTCTTTCAATCTTTTTCCTAAGACCTTGAACATTTTGGTGAAAAATTGTGATGGAGGTTGTTTTATTTTGTGTAATAACTAAATGTCCCTGATTATCTCTTCTTTGTGCTTTGGGGTTTGTGTTTTGGTTGTTGTCATTCAGGGGGGAAGTTGATTCTATGTTTTGTCGTCTGTTTGTTTCTTCACACCTAAAAAATGGTTTAGGGTCTGATTTGAGTCTTTCAGTATTGATTGGTTATGTTGTTTACATTGTGGTAGCTTATGGTGTGAGATCCCATTTATGTACTCCATGTGTTGGTTTAAAAAGTCTTCAAGTGATTCATTTGGTTGTAGTTTTTTAGCGGTACAGGGAGGTCCTTTTTGTACTTTAAATGTCTGTCTGTTAGCAGGAAGTTTATCAATGATGGGAGATTCTTGTTGTGCACATTGAGTGGACTTGGGGCAAGGAGTAGACTTTAAACTGTTCTGGAGAGTATTTAATTTCGATTTTGTATTGTTTATGTTTATGTCCTTTTCTTTACTTTTTTTCATCTGGAGTGACACACTAAAAATATTCCTATTCATTACCCTTAGCTGTTTCCTTATTCTTCCGTTTGCATCGGTTTTCGGGCTTTCACAAGACGGTGTGGGTTGTGTATCACTGGGGAAGTTTGTATTCTTAGCATTCTCTTGCTGAAATATTTTACTTTTAATTGCTGTTAAAGTGTTTTCTGTTTCTTCTTGCCAGGTCTTCAGCTTCGCTAGCTCAAGTAGCAGGGACAATGAGCTGTTTTGTGTTGGGAGCTCAGAGCTGTGGGTTTGAGATTCGGAGTTTTTGAATGTTAAAGTGTTTTTTGCTTGATGATTTCCAGAAACATTATATTTTGTTGGGTTCTTAATAGTTTGTTGTAGGTTCTTTATTTCTTTTTCTAGATTACAAATTACTTGATCTTTGTCCTTGTCTTGATCTTCAAACATTGTTGTTAGTTCAGCTCTGAGTTGTCTCTCTTTGATTAGCTGTTGCTCAGCTTCATTTAAGGTTTGTGTTATCGATGTTATTTGATTTAATAAAGATTATCAAGTAAATTTGACAGCAAGTGCTTGAAGTGTTACTTTACTGGATATTGACCTAATGGTTATCGACTGTGGTGTCTTGAAGAAGGAAAAATAATCACTGGAAGAAATGTTGTGTTTTATGAGGAAAAATTTAACTTTGGGAGCACACCAATTGAAGACTTGATTCCCGATCATGTACATGAATCCAGATCAAGTAAAAAGGAAGAAAAGAACAAAGAAGAACCCAGATCATTGTCTGATGAAAATCTAAGAATTTCTATACCAGA